GCACGTGTGTGTGTGTGTGTGCGTGTCTATGTGTGTGTGTATATGTGAGAGTGTGTGTGAGTGTGTATGTGAGACTGTGTACGTGTCTATTTATGTGTGTGTGTGTGTGAGAGAGTGTGTGTGTGTGTGTGTGTGTGTCTATGTGTGTGTGTATATGTGAGTGTGTGTACGTGTCTATTTATGTGTGTGTGTGTGTGTGTGTGAGAGAGTGTGTGTGTGTGTGTGTGTGTGTCTATGTGTGTGTGTATATGTGAGTGTGTGTACGTGTCTATTTATGTGTGTGTGTGTGTGTGTGTGTGTGTGTGTGTGCATGTTTAGGTGATTCACGAGGACACAGATTTGTATAATGGCATGGGTATTACAGCATAAACATGTTTTATGAGGACATTTTCTTAGTTGTCAGAATTAAAATAGCTTTAAAAACATATTAAACAATGTTTTATTAAAAATGTAAAAATGCCTGTAGTTTAGTGTGAGGGGTAGGTTTAGGGTAAGGCGATAGAAAATACAGTTTGTACGGTAGAAAAACCATTACGCCTATGGAATAAACCCATAAAACCCAGCATTATCAAACAACACTGCAAAAAATGTTTTTTCTTGTCCGTGCATTAATCTACCATCTAAAGTTCTGTTGGAACAGCGAGTAATCCTTCAGTTTTTCTGATTTCAGCTTGTTTCACTTCACTAAGTTTCTTTTCTCTGTTGTTTAATTATTTACAGAAGCAACCACTTTATTGCTCAAATAACAGCATGGTTTTTATTCTTTCTTGCATGCACTGCTTGTTTGAGGTCACAGCTGGTTTGCATTGAGACATCATGCTTTACATGTTGTTCCTTAATATTTGGTGTCTTATATTAGCTATATAACTATAACCAGATTACTTACAAATTGTAGTCTGTTACTGATTCCAAATGACATGACAAAAATTGTAGTTGGTAACGTAATCCATAATGCATAATTTATTGTTATTATAATAGTAAGTACATGTAACATGTGTATCTTAAAATAAAGAGTTTTATCGTAATCCAGATCACATGTAATCAGTTACTAGCTCTGACTGTAACATTGTGATTTGTACACAATTTGCAATTTTTTCCTTTATTTGCTCAATAAAAAAGTTGCTTAAACTGAACGCCAGAGAAAAAGAAAGCGTGCAGGACACGTCATCTCAAACCTTGCATGAAAATCTCTAGATCACATTTGAATATAGCACACATTTCTGAATGTGTTCTCTCGGTTGGTGTAATATCTGGCGATGACTTGTGTTTGATCTGAACGCAGGGCTACACGTCGTTCTGGAACGACAGCATCTCGTCAGGCCTGCGCGGCTGCATTCTGGTGGAGCTGGCGCTGAGAGGACGCGTTCAGCTCGAACCGCAGAGCTCACGGAAGAGAAAACTACTGGACCGCAAGGTGAAGACGAGCCACGTGTGTTTCTATAGCAGTTTACACAAAACACACTGATTCACGGCAGCTGCACAGAGATAAACAGGAAAACAACAGAGTTAATGATGCACAAATGAATCATCTGGAAGCTGAATAAATAAGCTTTCCATTGATGTATGGTTTGTTAGGATCGGACAATATTTGGCTCAATTATCAAACAAAGCACGCAGCCCAACAGAAGACAATATTTTTGTGCAAACCGTGACACATTTTGTTTTTCAGGATTCACAGATGAATAGAAAGCTCAAAAGAACAGCATTTATTTGAAATATAAATCTTTTGTGACATTATAAATGTCTTTACTGGCACTTTTCATCAATTTAATGCAAACGTGATGACTAGAAGTGTCTTTTTTTGTCTTTTATTATTGATAATAATCAGAAATGTTTCTTAAATCAGCATATTAGAATGATTTCTGAAGATCATGTGACACTGAAGACTGCAGTAATGATGCTGAAAATACAGCTTTGATCACAGAAATAAATTACAGTTTAACAGATATTCACATAGAAAACAGCTGTTTTAGATTGGAATAATATTTCAGATTTTTTACTGTATTTTGGGTCAAATAAATGCAGAAGAGACTTCTTTCAGAAACATTATACGTAAATCTGAACTATTCCCGAGTCTTAGCTGGCAGTGTAAGTGTATCTCCAGTCTCTCATTAGAGTTTTAGCAGTTCCGGCAACACAAATGCAAATGTTCCTGTGCTTCAGTTAAGTTAAACACACCTGATCTCTCGTGGCAAACAGCAGTGGGTGTGTGAAGCGTCTTCATCTTATTGTCTGAGTGACTATAGAGTCAATGAAACCAGACCAGCCAGACCGGATGCATTAGTCTGTCGTTAGTGTTTCACTGCTGCTGGAACAATCAAGAGTTCATTTGCATTGAGAGGATGAGATGGAAATGTCACATTTCTCTTTCAGAATGTCTGGATTTATGTAAATCGCTTGATAAAGTAACAGCACATCTCTGTTCAACAGCCTTGTTAAGAGCTAAAGTAGTTCAGTTGATGTTTAAATAGCTGATGATGGAGTTAAATAACGAGTTGAACCAGACTAAAGCGCACAATGAAGACTCGGGTGGATCTGACACAACCCTGTCAAGACAATATATTGTAGGTCATTCTGAGCTTAAAATTGTTGAAAAGTCGTTTCGTTCTTTTTCAAACATGAAGTCACTATATCACCCAGACTATAGCATTCAGAATCAGGCATTAATAATTTACACAGTAAAAAAATATTAAGGTATTTTTAAAATGACTTTCATTTGTGTAACCTGTCGATTTGAAAATTTTTATTAAATCATATTTGGAATTATGGAATTGAATGTATGTGTCCAAAACAGATTATTTGAAGCGAAGCCCATTATGAATGAACAATCCGCTTATTGTTTTCAATTTGAAAATAGAAATGATCAAACTGTGAATACAAGATGTTAACTTAGACACTCAGGAATTAATTTATTGGAATCGGGGTTATTATATTTAACTAAAAAAGAAAAAAAATTGTTACTTCAAAATAAATGTTGACTGGAAAAAAATAAAATATACACATTTTATACAATATTTTATTAAAAAAAATAGGCTAATTGCCAAGGCAGCATTTCTCATTTTTATTTATTTGAACTAAAACTGAAAAAAATAAAATAATACAAAGCTATATAGACATTAATAAAAAATAAACTATAAAAATGACAAAAACGCAAATTACTGAAACTTTAACTAAAATTAAAATGGAAATGGAAAGTATACAAATAAAAATGAATTCAAAATATGAATAGAAACTATAATGGTATATCAATGATACTAAAATAACACTAATTGTAAAGTCCTGCTTTAAATTATATTAGGCCATATTCAAATTCTTACTGGCAAAATTCTGTATTTTCTTTCAAAAATCTAACAGAAAGAGCTTAAATAATTGCTATATTTTATATTGCTTTAAGGAAAATATGAAGTTATTCTACATAATTTTCTTTATTTATTTTTCTTATTACTATTATTGTTTGAATTGTATCTAGTTTGTCATGAAAATAGCCTCTGTTGATGATATCGTGTTAAATTTAAATAAATTTACTAACTCAATCAGTGCTATTTAATATCATTCTTTCTTTATTTTTCTTATTACTATTATTGTTTGAATTGTATCTAGTTTGTCATGAAAATAGCCCGTTGATGATATCGTGTTAAATTTAAATAAATTTACTAACTCAATCAGTGCTATTTAATATCATCATCATTATTTGTCCTTTTTAGTAGTTTTTTAATGTCTATAAAGCTTTTAATTTTTATTCCAGTTTTTAATACATCTTCAGTTTAAAATAAAATGTTTAAATGTTTCATTTCAGTTAGTTTATTTTATTTCAAGTAATGAAAGTTATGGTTTTAGTCTCAGTTAACTATAATAAACCTCATTTATGTCATATATTAGCATATGCAGCGTGTTTTCATTCGTTGATGTGTGTGTGTGTGTGTGTGTGTGTGTTTTCAGGTGTTGGTGAAGTCCTCCGCTCCCACTGGTGACGTGCTGCTGGATGAAGCGCTGAAGCACATTAAGAACACTGAACCACCGGAGGACGTGGCCAGCTGGATCGAGCTTCTCACAGGTCACACACACACACACACACAAGACACACACACACACACACACACACACACACAGCCTGAAGCTCTGTGCCCGGTCTACGTACCATCTCAAGGCTCGGACGGGACAAAGCAAAGCTAGGGCTGGGTCTGCCTCCTCCGGGGGCAGCACTTGCAGGTTCACTGATTAGGGCTCTCTTCGGGGGTCCTCTCGGCGAGAAGAACACCACTTGACGAACAGGTTTCACTTCAAGGCGTAAGCGTGTCTCGTAGACAGTGCTCTCGCCGAAGTGAT